ATTAGACTTTAAATTGATTAGGGTACAATTTTTAATTGATAATTAACTAAAACTTTTATAATTAAGATTAAATTTTAATTAACAAACAAATTTAACTAAAATAATTTTTAAATTAATCAATATAATCGTTACATATTTTTTAATGTTTGATTTAATATTATTATATTCTTCAATTTCTTATATATATATATATATATATATATATATATATATATATATATTTCTTTTATATAGGTTTAATATGTTGAATAATGAAAAAATGTTAAAATCTTAATAAAAATGGTCAAATATAGTCTAGGATATAAAAACTGATTTAACCTCGAATAAAAAACATATATATGGGCCAGATTATTTTTTGTTTTGTCTTGAAATTGGTCATAATTTCAAATTTAATTATATGCATTTTAAAAAAATAATTATATATATTTAAAAAACTAAAATGTTCAGTGGCTTTTATTTTTGCCCTTAATCTCAAATAAAAAGTATTTTAAAATGAAAGTGATGAACAATTCAATTTCAAGTAATTGTTATGCTATTCCTCTAAAATAAAGTAAATAAAGAAGGGGAAAGTAAATTTGTTGATGGACATGCAGGGAGAAGACAAAAAAGTTTGATTCAAGGTCTTATGTAACGTTATGATCATGCTGTGTAGAATTGATTTCTATTTATTAATTTAATATTTGCTATTATTCGATGAACAATACGAATGAAATATTTAACCACTTTTCTGTACATGTTGGGTAAAGACTATTTATCACCACAACGCGTCAAAAGAAGATGGCAGAAATTGTAAGAGAATGGTGGGAAGGGTTGCCTTCGAAGACAACAAGCTCATGAATTATGATTGGGAGTTTTTGGATAGGGAAGCAAAGACATTTTTTTTAATTAACTAAAATTATATGGTACAAACAATAATATTAATAAATAAAAAATTAATTACGTTAAAAAAGTTAAATAAAAACATATTTTTTAAAATAAAAGAAATTGTGTATGTAAGAACTAAAGAAATTAATGAAGTTCACTGCACCAAATTTAAGCATTTAATGAATCCCGCAAACAGTGCCTCTGAATTAGTGTTTTCCTTTGGCAACATTGGAGTTGGTGGCACTGGGACACTACACTAACTATAAACCTTCATTAATTAACTGTTTGATTAAAAAAAGCTGAGACTCCAAGACCAAGCTTAGAGCATGGTTTGTCATCTACGGTGTCAGCATTTAAGATAGGGGTTACTTCCCAATATAAAGAGTTATGTATTGCATATTTTTATATCATAAAATTACTATTCTCTTCGATTTAGCCTAGGGTTTTGGAAACCCTAACTCATCTTCAACACTGGTCAATGCTGAAGGATTTTCAATCATTCCAAAATATACAAACTTGGATTTTTTTTTTTCTCTACCATACTCCTCATTTTCTAAACAAAAACGCTATTATCTTATCCATTTTATATTTATTTTTTAACAATAAATTTGTACATAAATTTTAATAAGAATTGCTATCTTTTGTTACCCATTGCCTCCTTTTTTAATATAAATATTAAAAAAAATAAAAATAGACAGCAAAAGTCTTTAGTTATTTATTAGTGTTGTAAGAAAAGACTGTGCTTACACATGCGTGGAATACAAACAGTAAAATTTATAATTAGTTAATGAGTTAAAATTAATGAATGCTAATTTAATTTTATTGATTAACATGTGACTGGTGACAATCCAAATTTAAAATTCCCGGAACCATTACTTTTTATAATTTCTCAACTATTAAATACACGTCCATAATTTCAATAAAATATTCACACAAGCAGAGGAAAAGAAAGAACAAATTGATATTGGAATTAAATTTAGAGTAAAAAAGGCTAATTGTATGGTTTTCAAAAACAGGAATAAAGGCTGATGAAGAAAGGACCGAAAAAACTTGGTGGTTTTTTTTTTTCTCACTCATTGATAAGTCAATAAGCTGTTTTTGTATGTGTGTGATTGTTTTTATTTTAGTACAAAGAACATTACAAAATCCCAATCCAAAACCCCTCTGAGAAATATAAAATTGTAGGAAAGAAAAGTATTGTCCTATAGCTAAGCATTCCTATTAAAGCAAGAAAATGAGACACCACTGATTGATTTACTCGAAAAAAAAGAAGAAGCTTTTTTTATTATAATGAAGAAAGAGATGATGGTAGCGAAGGGAGTGGGGGAAAAGGAATTACACATGAGAGTGTCTTTCTCTGTCTAATAGTTTTTATCCCGTCGACTCCGCGGAAGGGAAATCCAAAGCGACCCTATTTTTTGGTACAATTTTGTGGGTTTTGACTAAAGATGGAGAGAGAAAAAGAGAAAACAGCTTGTGTTCTATCTTCTTCCTTCCTCTTCTACTGTCATTTTCCGATATATACTCTCGAGGAAAACAAAACCCAAATCCACCTGTTTTCCTCCCATGCCTCTCTGGATTTCTTTTTCTATTTTTATTTTTTTAGTTCCCTTTTTACACTACAAGAAATATTAAAATTACCGACGTCAAAATCGTCGGTATAACAAAATCCGTCGGTAATGAATATTACGATGAATTCACGCAAAAATCCGTCGAAATTGATTGTCGTAAATATTACCGATTTATCCGTCGTAAATGTGTTATGAAATTACGCGATTTATCCGTCGTAATAATTTTATTAATTATTAAATATTTGACTTATTTATAACATATTTTTTTTATAGAACTCCTCCCTCTTATATTCTTATTATTTATTACTAATTATTTCTCCATATTATATTTTTATAGACTTTGAATTATTGTCGGATTAAGAGAAATGTCATTGGCAGGATTGAACCCAAGATCTTAGAGTCGAAGTCGATACTCCAACCACTAAGTCTACTAGAATTTCTTGATAACAATTTACAAATAAATTATATTTATATACAAATATACAAATACATTTATATATATTTATATATATTTATATATATTAATATATATTTATATATATATTTATATATTTATATATATTTTTATATATTTATATATATTTATACATATTTTTATATATTTATATATATTTATATATATTTATATATATTTATATATATTTTTATATATTTATATATATTTATATATATTTATATATATTTTTATATATTTTTATATATTTTTATATATTTATATATCTATATATTTATATATTTTATATTTATATATTTTTATATATTTTTATATTTTATATTTATATATTTTTATATTTTATATATTTATATATTTATATATTTATATATTTTATATTTATATATTTTTATATATTTTTATATTTTTATATTTTATATTTATATATTTATATATTTATATATTTTATATTTATATATTTTTATATTTTCATATATTTATATATTTATATATTTTTATATATTTATATATTTTCATATATTTATATATAATTAAATATTTATTTTTAAAATTACTTAATTTAATAAATGATTATAAATTAATCTAATTATGATTAAATTAAATTATTAAATAAAAAATATTTATTTTTTAATTAGTGAATAATTAAATTATATTATATAATTTTACCGACGGATATATCCGATCGGTAAATAATTTTTAATTTACATATGAATTTACCGACGGATATATCCGTCTGATAATTAATTGTTAAATTATCGACCGATTCTACAGACGGATATATCCGTCGGTAAATTCATCAATAAATTACAGACGGATTTATCGACGGATATATCCGTCGGTAACTAATTATTATTTTACCGACGGATATATCCGTCGGTAACATCAAATTTCACAAATATTCTATATCCGTCGGTAATTTCCGTCGGTAATGATTATTTTCCGACGGCTACAAATCCGTCGGTAAATATCCGTCGGTAATACGCGATTTTCTTGTAGTGTTAAATTCCATTCCTTCTACCTCACTCACTGCTAGCTTACAACAACAATCTCTATCTATCTATCTCTCTCCCTCCCTCTCTCTCACCTCTCACCTCTCACCACATTCACAACCTCTTGGGCATGTTTGTTTTTTGTTTAGCAAAAATTTCCAAGACTCACTTCCATCTCGCTGCCTCCTTTGCTTCTTCTATGCTTGATTTTGTCTCCCTTTTTCTCTTTCTCTCTTTCACAACTTCTTCCTAGTTAGCCTTCCAGATTCTTTTCTTGGGAAAGACTGAAAAAACAAAAGTGACATAAGAGAAGGTGAGGAGGGAACAAAGGGATTATATTACACACGCTGTTTCACAGTCTTGCTCGCTTATTCTCCTCAGCTTGTGGATATCGCACTTTTAATTGTCTTGTCTCTCCCGAGTAGTATCAAAATCTGATATCGTTTTAATAAAGGAAAAAGAAAGGTATTTGATATATATATTTTGTGAGCATCAAGCCATCCCTTAAAGAAGATGACCTTGGAGGGGATTTTCATTGAGCCTACCTCAACCACTGCTCCTGATCTTTCTCTTCACATAAGCCCCCCAAGCATCTCCTCTTCCTTGATTTCCAGTAACAACCACATCACCAATTATGAGCACCAACCAAGTTTCCCTTCAAGGACTGTGTCTCAAGCCCACACAGAACTCTCTCTTGGAAGGAATTTCACTTCTGGAAGGGAAGCACCAACGCCAACACCAACTCCAACACCACACATCCCTTATTATCAAAATCAAACCCATTTCCATCATCTTCTCCACAGCAGCAGCACTACTAGTACTAATACTACAACAAGTTTTGCTACAAGTACCAACACTCCCTTGAATCACATAAACTATGGAGTTTCAATGCTTGATGTGTCATCATCAGACGGCTTGAGACCAATCAAGGGGATTCCGGTGTATCACAACCGTTCATTCCCTTTCGTGGCCATGGACCATGCTAGAGACAACAAGGATCACCATAACAAGATGTGCTTCTATCATCATATGCCTTCTTACCCCTCTCTCTCCTCCTCGTGTTCCTCTCTGTGCTCCACAACCGCTCCTTCTTCTTCACCTTCACCTTACTTTGTGGATCCCATGTCCTTCTTGAACAACGGTTCCACCGTGGCGTGTAGGGCAGCCACTGCCACAAGGTTTAATGGGTTTTCTGGCGATGCTTTCAAATCTCACCCATTGCACCAATATGGAGTAGGCTCTTCAGAAGCCTCTTCAGGGTTCATGAGATCAAGGTTTTTGTCTAAGCTTCCCAACAAGAGGAGCATGAGAGCACCGAGAATGAGGTGGACAAGCACCCTCCATGCTCGATTTGTCCATGCGGTTGAACTTCTCGGAGGCCATGAAAGTAAACTATATTTCTTTAATTTTCTTCCCTTTTAATTATTCATAATTTCTTTTAAACCCTCCATCTTTAATAATCCTGCTGGATGATATTATTCTGTGATTCGTGTAGTGGATTTCATCAAGATAAAGATTTATTTTTGTTTTGTTTTTTTTAAGTTGACTATATTTTTAATTTTCTACATGTCTTGTTCTTTGTTTTTTATTAATGAATTGAGGGGTGTACTAGTTTTTTTTTGTATTAAATTATTGGCTTTTATTTATCTAATGTGTTTGGATTTTGTGGATTTAGGAGCTACTCCAAAATCAGTTCTTGAGCTCATGGATGTGAAGGATCTAACATTGGCTCATGTCAAAAGCCATTTGCAGGTATAGTTTTGAATCTCTCTCTTTCTCTTCTCTCTTTATGTTCATGTGGGGCGGTGTTTGTTGTCTATCCTAATGGCACGGTAACCGATGAAGAAAGCAGTGAATGTGGGAGTGGATGAATGAATTTAAAGTCTGTAGTCAGCTGAGTAGGAGCCTTTAACGTCTGAGAAGACCAGACAGAAAACAGTTTCTGCTTTGAAAGAGAGAGAACAGACAAAGATCATCATTTTCCAATAATACACCCTCTCATTATAACCTCATCAAACATCAACCTCGTGATTAATGAGGTAACCCACCCAGAGCCAACATAGAAAGAGAGAGAATGAAAAAGGATCTAAACAGGAAATGATTTTATATTCTTTAATAGATTTTGTAATAAAAAATTTGGAATTTTATATACATATATACATCTCACGCAGTCACGCACGGTAATTAATGGATTTTCTTCCAACCATGGCAAAGCCTTTTATATAATGCCTTGTTTTGTTTATGACTTCTTCCCAGATGTATCGAACTGTTAAGACCACTGACAAATCTGCAGCATCTTCAGGTAATTCGTATTGTTTAATCTTCAACCATTTTTTCTTTTTTTAGCAGCCTTATCTTTTTCTTAAGCACGCATCAACTAATTTGTTTTGTCATAACATAGTAGGGAAATAATGTCACACCTTGTTCTTTTTAGACCCAACAATTTTTTACTATTACCTTTAATTTTACCGCAAACTATTTTTTTTCTTGTTCCGCCTCTCGTACTTTTACACAAACCCTTTAATAAAAAAACTTTCCACAGAGATATCAGATGTTGAACACGACTCCACATTAGTCCAAAATAAATTATACATAGTACCAAGATGCATGCATGCATATATCATAAAAATGTATGCATATAAAAAAAATTTAAAACTTTGGGTTTGCAGGCCATTCCGATGGGTCTGGAGAGGATGATTTATCTCCTATAGGCAGCACCGCAGATCGCGGCGGTCTCCGGCAATTCCCCAACAACAGAGGGCGGCAGGAATGGGTGGCGCAACAAGACATGGACTATTCTTCCACCACCACTCTTTGGAGTAACTCTTCAAGGTACTCTTACCAATTTCCTCTTTTATAATTTGTGATCATAAATTATTTGTTTTACATATTTTTATATATCTGTGTAGTGTGCAGCCTGTTTGAACGTACATGTTTATGATTGTGCTTTTACTTGCTTTTGCCTTTGCATGGTATCTGATGAATATCAATGCAATGCAACCCACGTCCACCAGATCCTTTTTTATGAAGAATAAAAAGGGCTCTTGAGTCAGCTTTTGCTTTGCTTGTGTTTGGTTGTTTTCTTCTTTTATTTTATATCTTTTGTACCTCAGGCGAATTTTTTCGCCTGACATGTATATGAAGATATAGTGGGTATATAATAAAGGAATGCTTCAAGACATAATCAAATGTTAATTAGGATAAAAGCACACTCAGCACCTATAGCTGCATGCACTTTTTCTCTTCTCCATTGGAAGAATTTGATCTATTTATCAGTTATTATATGTACTTATTAATAAGTCCTGCTCTTACCTAGCATTATGCTGCTTATTTAAGCCTACTAAGTGTTGTATATTGTATATGTATATATGGAGTTCTTATTCTCCACCACAAAACCCAAATAATAAATTTCTTCTCATTGATTATGATTGCCTTTAACTTCAAATATTCTTATTAACAATGCATATATTTTGAAACCACATTATACATTATATATTGGTCATTGGCATATTCTATACTGCACGTGTTTTAGCCTAACTAAGAGATTCCTGATAGGGGTCTTGGGAGAGGATGGAGAAAGAACATAGAAATAAATATTTTGTAATTCGAGGCTGTTGTTGACAGTTAAAACCTTATATATATATATATATATATATATATATATATATATATATATATATATATAAGAAAAAAATACTCTTGTTTTTATGCTTGAAATACATATATATTATTAAATTATATATAAAGAAGGTAAAAGTGAATGCTCAAGATACATAGACATCCATCACCTCACCTCAAGGTGATAAGTTGACTCTCTTGCATGAAAATGAAGCTTTGGAAAACATAAGATCCAAAAATTCCTTTACCTGAGATATTATATAGTTGGAGTATAAATATCAGGAAGTGTCAATTTTGACTTTTTCAAGTAATACTATTTAACATGAATAGCAAGTGTAACATATGACATGTACTTCTGTGCTGTGCCTGTTTTAACACAACAGCTCAAAATAAGTAACAAAAGCCATCTCCACAGTTCAAGAGCTGTAGCTTATTATTAGTGCCTATATATCTCTAGATTTGTCCTGACTTTGGCCTAACAGTCCCTATTTTCACATAGATTTATTGCATATTTGAGTCAACATAAAAGCAAGAATTCTTTTTAAGGTAAATAAATTAGAATTCAAAATACCATTTTACTGTGCAACCTAACCCAGCTTTCACATAGAGCCTGTACTTTTTAAAAGCTGGAAAATCGGAAAGCATGACCTCTATTATTGAAATATTGTGGAAGCTACTGTGACTGAGTAATGTCAAGTCATGAACAACTTTTTTTAAAAAACTATATACTGGCTTGGCTTACTACTACCACATTAAAAACTTTATGTAGAAAATCAGTAGCACATAGAACATACCAGCAACAAAACTATGCAGCATCTCCTGGTCTTATTATATATAGTCACTTTGTTATGTCTCAAAGAAGGATATTAAAGCTCATCTCTTCAAACATAACTTTATAAATTCAAGATGTTTATTGTAGTTGACTCCTAAGTTAAAAGTAAACATCTATTTAGTTAAAGTGATTTTCGTTGCCCGTGGAAGTTTTAATTACTGTAGTGAGAATATATAATCCTTAAAACAAAATTTTGTCAATTTGTAATACTTAGTAAAAGACGTGCTTGCTGACTAGAAGTGGAAATAGAACTGTAGAAAATGCTTAAACATTGCAGATTATTTGGTATAAATGGTGTGTACACAGTTACGAGCTGACGATATATTGATTGTTAGGGAGAAAAAATGAAGATGTGAAAACTGGTAAAATATCAAGATGGAAGATACGTGTAAAGAATATAATGTCTACGCTCTTGATATATATTTATTTCCACCATTTTCTAGCATATTAATATTATTTTATATGCTACGTGGTACATATATATTTTGCATGTTCTTCTTGATGACCAGCTGAATTTCATGGAACTGATAACAGTTGTGGAGAGTCGCGACTAAGAACTACTTCTAACGACATAGATGGTCTCAGATCACCTATCCTCCAGTCACAAACAATACCAGGAGCCCAGCAAATTGAGGTAATCAAAGATACATCATAACATTTGTTTGTGAAGCCTTGACTTGATTTTTCCCATGCATATTCACAATTTTGAGTGTTTTTCCGTCTGCATATATGATGGTAGGGCAATACTAACACATGAAATTACAGGAATGTGATTCAACCAAACAGAAGAACAACATGGCAGGTTCTAATTTGGAGTGCAAAAACCCAAGCTTGGAATTCACATTAGGGAGACCTCATTGGGATGGCAAAGAACAAGCCTAGCTAATTTTGATTGGTTCCATTGTTTTCTTTTTAATCTGCAATTTTATTTATAAACCATGGTGACAACTTCATCATCTTTTATGAAATGTAGAGGTGATTATTTAGATAAATATAAATTGGTGTCTAGGAGATGAAGAAAAGACCCTTTCTAGTTCTGCATTGAGAACTGTTTTGAGTTCATGACAGTTTTGTTTATATTCTATTTTTTTTTTTTTTTTTTTTATCGAAGAGGATGAAGTAACAACGGGAAATTATGATGTAGCAACAAGGCTTTATGAAGGAAGACGATGCATATGCCAACTGAAATTCAAACTTGGGAAAGAATAGAAAAGTTTAATTATAAGTTATTGTTTTCATTTCTCTCCTCTTCTCTTCCCTTAATTTTTTCAAGTTTTTTACGTAAATATATTAATCTGCTTGAAATTTAGTAAAGAAAAATATAGAGTAAACCTTTGTATATAGACTTATGATCTTTTCATCATGTTTGGAAAATGACCCATTTGAATCTTTGTAGTTTAAGTCATCAAATTGTTATATCTTAATTATTGATTTCAATTTTGAGACTGGAATACGTAGTTATGTTAAATACTCCAAAGGAATAGTTTTGTAATCTACAATAATCTTCTTGTATTGGAGCAAAATATATGGATCACTCACCAATAACTTCCTTTAATTACTTAATGTATTAATACGTTCAAAATTTAAACTAAACAAACTTATTTTGTTTACGTACGTATATAACATAACATTGTAATATAATACATACAAATAATATAAACAATCTAATTACATAATTTTTTATTTATTTGGAGTACTTGTACTTATCAGAACTACTTGAATTCTTAATATATAATAATACGGCAAGGAATTAGTTGTCTCGTATGTCAAGTTAAGCTATGAAAGAATTGAAGTCAAACTTTAAAAATGTCTTATAACAGGTAAAAATAAATGATTCTCAAGCTTTGTAATTAAAAATCATGTTGAACCCAAACTTGTAAACTCCTAATTTAACCTTAGGTTATTTCTGTCTCTAATCACTAATCTTCTTAGCTATTCACAGTTAGCTTCTAAAAAGAATTGTCTAAATTTTTTTAGGTGAATTTAAACCTTCTTTAATGTACATTCTGGCTTCTGGCTTTAACATTTAGCAGTAGTTAGAAATTGTTTCTGTACTCTTAAATCTTATGGATTGTTTTTTCTTTGTTTGAGTTGTAAGGTAATAAATGTGAAGTCATTGACCATTTTAACAATCCGGTCTCATGACAGTTTTAGTAGTAAAATCTCACATTTTAACCATATTTTTTTTATTTACATTTTATTGCAACAAATAGTCATTGATAATAAAAATTTTGTTTATTTATATATTAAAAGTAGATCTGTCTTTAGATGATTTAAGAATTTAATTAGACTTTTACAAGAGTAGCAAATTAATCTAGTCACATGACACTAGTGCAAAAAGGGTTTTTACGTCAGGTATTTTGGGTTTTTTACGTCGCATTTAAGACTGACGTTAAAATGGGAGACGTAAATTTACGTTGGATCCTTAACCTGACGTAAATTCACGTCGGTTATCGAGATCTAACGTTAATTTACGTTGCATTTACACTAAACAGATGTAAAAAGTATCAAAAATTAAAAAATTTGGAACAAATTTATGTCACGTATTAGTATATGCGACGTAAATTTACGTCTCATATTGGTATATGCAACGTAAATTTACGTTGCTTATACCAATATACGACGTAAATTTGCTCATTTTTAAAAACAATTGGGTTTATTTTGTCTTACAACCAAAATCTGCAAATATATATTATAACCAGATGTCCAGAGGTTCATGTTTCTTTAGCTATGTAATTAAAAAATATAATATTATATATAATTCAAACTACATAATAAAACAATATAATACAAACAATAAACTACAAACTAAAATCTATTACAAACTAAAAGTTAGTACAAACTAAAAGTTAGCACAAACTAAACTACTTAAACTACATAATACACACAATATAATAGGAGTAATAACCTAAAAAATTAAGTACTAGAATTGTTAAACGAAAAACCTTACCCATTGTTCTCTAATTTGTTTGATATCATATTTTGGCAATGAAGATGGATCTTGAAGTACCTGAAACATTAATTTGACCCTTGTAAACATGTAACACACATAAAGTTAAATAAACTTAACTAATGTTGAAAGCAATTACCTCCGTCCAAGAATCAGTTATACCCGCACAAACTATGACTCTCATCCAATACATAATATAGTAACCACATTCAAATGAGTCTGTTTTCTTATTACACTTGAAATGATGAATAAAATATAATGTTATTTTCAAAATTTAAATACAAACAATAATTATGGTATTCACTTATTATATAAGTTTCTAACCTTAGGATAAATGAACTGCAAAGTCTTTGTTTTGAGTTTTCCATGTAAAACATTAGTTCTAGACACGATTCTAAATGAAAAAAAGTCATATATTATTCAATACCTTTTCTATTTTCACTAGCAAATTTCAAAAATTCATCAACTCTCTTTCGTACTCTTCACTAATACGACAGACATTCATCCAACTTCGATTCATATTATGTTATAAAGTTTTGTCACTCCTAGAGATTCAAAATTTATATTTAAAAATAAATTAATATACAAACAACAAAGCACGTAAATGAAGTGTGTAAACCAAAAATACACTCAAACAAAATAATGACATTCCAATAACAATCCAGTGGAGACATTCATACAATGACGTGATTGAGATCCCTAAAAACAATCACAGATTCAATTTGAACATATATCAAGAGACATAGAACACTAGCCTCGAGTAAACACGAAAACGATTTCAAACTCGAATCCAATCGGAGAGAAATGTCAAATTCGTAAAATGAGACACAATGTTGATGTTTTTCACTGCCAAAATGATCAAAAATGGTGTGAAAAGATAGTTGTCATCGTCGTTCTCAAAAACCCTTGCGACGCGAGATGCGGGAGTGGGTCTAGAAGAGAATAAAAGGCACTTTTTACGTCACACACCCTAGTACGTGACGTAAAAAGTGCTTTTTACGTCGCGCACCCCCCATGTGACGTAAAAAGTATCACTTTTTACGTCGTGCACCCCCACGCGACGTAAAAAGTCCTCTTATACGTCGCGTTGTATCAGGTGCTACGTAAAAGAGGTTTTTTACGTCATCTCCTACAATATGCGACGTAATAGTTTCACCTCTTATTTTCAAAATTGTCACCGTGTTTTATTTACGTCGAATATTTTGACATATGACGATAATTGGATGACGTAAAATGTCATTTTTGCACTAATGTGATTTTTTTTTTCATGTTTTCCGATACATATATTAGTTTAAGTTTTATAATTTATTAGAAAAAACTTTAGAAAATAATTTCCAAGTTAAATAACCAAACAATGAGAAAAATAGTGACCAATACTTCGAAGAGTATCATAAATGTTTCCTAAAAAAATGATATAACTTTCTATAGGTTTTATTATTTCATATATATTCTAATTGGAAAAATATCGGAGTAGTGTTTATGAAGTATGGTTTTTGAATATTTTAATTAAATGATGTATTTTTATTTTATAAGTTAAATTTTATATAAATATTATAAAACAAGATAATTATAAGAAACACATTTCTAAAGAGTAAATTATATCTCTCTAAATTTGTTTTTTTTACTCAAATAATTAGAGACTAAATTAGAATATAAATTTAAAGTGGCAAAAAGCTTGATAGATAATTTGAGACTGATTTAATGACTACTTCAGAATTTTATTCAATGACAACAAAACATAATTTATAAGATTAATTATTCTCAACTTTTAAACTAATTTCTGAATCAGTATACAATTGCAATTTTTTTTTTCGGTACATCAGTTTTTACTTTGATGAAAATTATTATAATAAACACCTAATTTGTAAAACATTGTTAATAAACTTTGTCCGTACTAAAGGTTAAAAAAAAAACACTTATTTTTTATTTATAACAGGATTTCAAATATCATGACAAAATTCATCAAAAATTATTTCATGGTCAAATATAGATTGAAATATTCATTTTATGTTATAATTTTAAATAGTATTATACTTTGTGTCTAAAATATAATTTATATTTACAGATGAATCGTTTTCTCATTGTGAGTGTTTATATTATTATGTTTTATCATTTTTTTGGAATAACATAATCTCAACTAAATTTAAAAACATATAATTTGTTAAATTTATTTTATGATGAAATACGAGTCACATTATAGTTATAATGAAAATAGGGCTGGAGATGGGCCTGGGCTTAAGCGGAAAGGAAGAAGGCCCAGGATCCAGGGTTGAGGAGTCGAAAATAATCAAACAACATTAAAGTAGAAAAAAAAATTAATCAATTCATTTTTTTATCATTTATTTTGTTGGCTTAACTATTGATTTTTTATTTTTTTATAGTGTAATAAGTTTTCAAAATCAAGGCTTCAAGACTCTTTATTTTGTTGTGTTTTTAATTCTGCTAGTCATCTTTTAACTATATATATATATATATATATATATATATATATATATATATATATATATATATATATATATATATATATATATATATATATATATATTCATTGTACAAGAAAAAAGTTGGATGGTAGTTCATTATTGTTATAAAAATCCATTCACTACCCTACCGTATTTTAAAAAAAATATAAAAATATTAAGTATATATATATATATATATATATATATATATATAAGCATTTATATTTTTAAAAAAATGTATTTTTCTATGTACTTTATTAGGATTAGAATTAAAATAAAGATGAATGAAATAGAAACGATAACAAAATTAATAAATGAGTTGTATGGATAAGTGAAAAGGAGATTAGGAAGAAATAAATAAATTATATGAAAATAATTTTATATTAATCAAAAGTAGAGTATTTTTAAATAATTTTCAACATTGAATCCAGAAAGAGTTGGTTCCTTATTCTTGAATTGCAACAAAAATGTTAAAGTTGTCACTGTGAGTGTTTGGATTTGTCTAAACATTCACAAGTGGAGACCACTAAATCATCCTTTCAAACTCATGAGTGCTTATTTTTTGGAAGTTGTTTTTATTTAAGTTCCTTGTGTTTCATTCCCAAACAAATTTTGTAATAGAAAAAACAATTTCTTATTGTATGTCGCTCCACATTTATCATCCAAATTTAAATTTCAATATTGATGGAATCTAAAACAGGATATTTTTATAACATATTAATCCTAATCATAACCATCCAATATGGTAGATTCACTTAATCGAAAGAATACACCTTTTTTTTAAGTAAAGATTACAGGTATTTTTTTATGGAAGACTATTATGCTAGAGTCAAATAGAACAATTGTAGATAACTATATATGCTCAAGACTTGACTTAAAATATATTATTAAAAGAGACAAACTTCATACAAGTTGATCAACACACTTAGCAATAAAAAACACTATAAATTAATAGGAAAATATTAATTGAATAATTAATTACCACTTTCTAATGTAATAAAATTCCATGATCATAACGATATTGTTTTTTAGAAGTTTTACATTGCAGTAAGTTGTTTCGTTCAATATAATTGTTTTACTGGTAGTATCCTTTCATATTTCACAAGTACCGTAATCCTTCATTGGAGTTCTTTCTCACTTGATCCTGTAGCTTAATAACAACAAATGGAAGAAAAACCTAAGTGACCAAATTGGTGATTCCTCTGATTCTTTAAAACGAGTTTCTTCACATTTTCTTCTCTAGTACGGGCTTCCATCTATGCTTGGTTGGGGAGTGTAGTTCTCGATCAAGTCAGTTGAATTTATTTTGGCATGTAACTGTGTGGTCCTTCAGAATCATTCTTTTGACATGTTTAGGTTTCAGATAGTGCTAAGCTCTGCTCCTGGGGTTGGTGTAAGGCTAAGGTTTTGTATCTATTAATCTATGAGATGTGTTTCTGTCTTAGTACTGGGAAGCTCCTGAACGATTTGTATCTGGGTGAATATTAATTGCGCTCTCTTTAATCCAACTTTTTATTTGCTTAACAAAAATACTCCAACATTCAGAAGTGCTACAGTAGTATGATAGTAAAAACCAAGCTACCAGTGATTGTATTCAATATTTTGAGTAACCGTGTCATAGCATAGGTATTGTATCTGTCAATGACTAAATGACAAAGTTCAACTTTCAAATATACAGCAATAAACATTGCAAGCCCGAATTGCCAAATAATGAAAAATTAACATCTTAGTAATACACATTGAAACAACAATAGGGTAAATTGTTATAGCCACATGTACGTTATGTTTATAGCAGGACCATGCATCAGGTTTCAACTAAATAAATATAAAATGTCATTAACCTTGCTATAGTTGACTGGTAGCGGCTCTAACATTGCATAAACATTCTTGCTCACATAAATGCAGCAATTTCAATTTACAACTCATTCCAAATTTACATCATTTACCACAGCACTCCAATTTCATGACGTGTAATACCAGGTGACAACGAGCTACATAAAGAAAAAGCAGCAGTTTTTCCAACTTCAAAACTGTACACAATACAGACACCCTGAAATTTTATCAACATTGCTTTGATATAAAATGCACAAAACCAAACCATGTCATTTTTATTGACGTAAAACAAGCGCTCTATTGACAGCCACTGAAACCAAACTACGAGCGAGATTAAAGATAAGACACTCTACCAGTCAATAGAAGATGCTTTTGCCATTTCAAAAATCATGCATTTGTAAGATTTGTGCACAGGCTTCTATATGTGACCAGCAACTAAATTGCTTTTTTGTTTGCAAGGTTGCGAGTACCCCAAGCAGCAGCATAAGTAGTAATTGCAGAGCCAGTTACACTAAGAGATTGCTTTGCAAATCCAAGGCTCTTTCTAGTTACCAGCCACAAGGTATAAAGGAATCCAACCCATCCTGGATCAAATAATTTTAATGTGAAGCGAATATATAGTGTTAGTTCACACAAGTAGGACATAATAAAAGTCCTAAGTCATAAAATACTCTATCCTCGAAAAGGTAAAATAAGGAGTAAGAGGAACCAAATGTATTGCCATCATAAAGTTAGAGTTGCCACTGAACCTGTTAGGATATAAGGAGATGGAGAAGTTTATTAAGATAATTAAAATATTAATGGGTTGGTTAGATATATATAGGGGAAGAAGGTTAGGAGAGATGCAAATTTGTTGTTATTGTAAATTGAGCATTGGTTCTTTGAGAAAAGAGAAATCCTTTGTGAAGGAGAAATCTTTGGAGGAGAGATTCTCTCCTATTTCTTGTTCTTTTCATCCAATTTAGTAAAAATCTTCTTTCCTTTTTCTTTTCAGTTCTTGTTTCCTAACACATCCTCTCCGGTGGCTAGCATCTGCACATTACTAGTCTGTAATTTAGTTACATGCTCTAGATCCTGCTTGAATAATTTTCTCTATATGCACTTCCAAAAAGGAAATTAAGTAGGTAAAATAATTAAGTTTTCCACTAAACTAAAATCAACTTTTACACTTCAACTTTTGGATAAGATGAGAGTTTCTAAACAGTTGTATAAGTTGACTTAGCTTATAGGAGAAGCTCACTTCATTTCACCATTTTATGGAGAAGTTTATCAAGTAGGCATCATATTGAGATAAAAGGAGTTTATAATGCATTTCTTGTCTGAAGCATCTATTTGACTGGCAAGTGCACAACATTCAAATTATGGGCATATACATCTCCGTTCGGTAGTTCAGTAGGAGGTCTTTGTCAGGAAAATATGCCTAGTATCAACACAATTTCAAATATTCAAATTTAACATATAATTTATATACATGCAATGATTGGGGTAAAAACCTATTGTCAGTGGATTCAAGTATCTTTTGGGTAAGACAACAGACTAAAACAATCATTAATCCGAAATAGCGTCAGTCTTCCTGTCTCAATTGAAATTCAGAATCTTAGCTTACACGGAATCCTCTTCAGAGATACATATGATATGGTTAAAAAACATAGATGCTGATAGTCCACACAACCAATCAAAATCATTGAAAAAATTTAGATTTTGCTTGAATAAGCTTCTCAATCACAACTTGTAAAGAAAAAAGTAAAAATGAAATGAGTTTTCCATAATTAAAATTAGTTTATATAAGCTAATTTATAAATTCTCTTATGAACTTTTCTAAAAGCCGATTCTAACTCATGCATCAACTAACTTTAGCTTGGGAGAAGTCGAATTTATTTTATCTAATTGTTTAATGACAAGTAGATAGAAAGGAACGGGCATCCAAACAGGTTGTTACCTGAAGTAATAACAACAGCCACAACAGCCCAAAAAGTAACTGTGGAAAGAGCAAAGATGGCCACCGATAGTGCTCCAATATATATAGCTGTCACAAAAACAAAGAACAGAGCCAAGAATCCTCCAGCCACTGCCAAAGAAATGAGAAGGGAGACCAAAATGGCATTTATAGTTGCAGCCAGAAAGAAGACCATAAAAGCAACAAGTCCTGAGAGAGTGACAAGAGCAACTATCCCAACCTGCACCAATTTGTATCAGAAATCAATGTCATTCAAATTAAGATGCTCCACTTTGTTCACATTACCTATACAAAACTTAAGATACACCTATCTTTGAACTTACTAGTCTCTATTCTTGGTAAACATAATCTTAATAAGGATTATCTACTAGTACTTTTAGGGTATATATATATATATATATATATATATATATATATATATATATATATATATTCAATTATAAGAAAATCAGACTCATTCAATACCACTCGAACTAATTAAGGTAGAATGTCTAAACGGTTCCTAAAGGTATAAGCCAGTTTCAAGTTAGTCTTTAAATGTTCCTACATTTAAATTCAATTATAAGGAAAATTGATTATTTTTACGTTGATACAATAAAAATATAACTTTCCTAAATTACTCTGAATCATATTTAATGGAATGATTCTTAAATTTTAAAACAAAAATATTTTTAAAAATATTAACATTAAATAAGATTAACGAATTTGAAATTTATTTATATATAAGTCCACTAAATGACAATTAATTTTTAAATTTTGTTATTGTAAAAATTTAAGTCATTAAACTAAATCAGAAGTCCTGTCACTAATTAAAGTATATTTTAATAACAACGCATTGAAATTAAATTATATTTTAATAATAAATTATATAAACCTATACATATTTAGCGTGAACAGATGAATGTTAAATATGAAATCCAGTGGAAGACATTTTATTTTAGTTTACTAGAAATCAGGAACTAGAAACGTTCATACGACATAGATTATTGTGGCACCAATTACTAATTCACATTTTGTAGTCCAATTAACAGGGCCTTGATTAGGAACTTCAAAACCTGATGACGAATTAGACATTATAAAAATAATAATATTCAATTATATAGAAAGAAGTACTGACAGAGATGCAGAGGAGGCGTTGAAGGGGAGAGCCTTGACGGGACCAGATGAGAAGTTGGCGAGTGTAATTTCTGGAAGCTTCCGGGAAAAGAGGGACGAGGGAGGCCTTCACCTTAGAAGGTTCGAAGATGAGACGCTGAACGACGTCGTACAAGTTGTCCTTTCTCTCCTCTTCCACTTCTTCTCGCTTTGGCTTCTCCTCCGCCATCTTTCACTTTCCAGTGGCAGATGTAATTCAAATGGAACGAAACAAAGGAAAATTTCAGAGTTTAGACTTAGAGGGTACTATTTTTCTTAAAAAAAAAAAAAAAAAAAAAGCTCGTTTTAGTCATGGTTTATTATTTTATTGTTATTGTTAGATGATTCATTGTGTGGCGACACGTGAGACGCTTGATTGGACTCACGCAGAGTGATTGATTGGTACAAGAGGATATTAACTGGATAAAATCATATCATTTATGAGTTGAGTCACATGTTCTACCCATTAAATATATTATTGAATTGAATTTGATTAAAATTATTAAATAAATTTAATAAAAATAGTAATAATAACATAATGAGTTGAGTCACAAATTCTACACATTTTAAATGGGTTTTATTTCAATCGTCGACTATTACTTTTTAATACATTTGTCAATAATAATAATAAATACAAATAAATAATAATATTAATATTAATAACAAATTTTATAATTATATGTAAGAATTTTTCTTTGTAATCAGTTTTTAGTATAGGCAGAAAGAGAAAAATAAAAATATAATATAGTTTTAAAAATAATTATTATAATTTATATTTAAAAATATTAAAAATTTAAGAAATAAAATATGATAAGTAATTAATAAAGAAAAAAATAAATATATTTAAAAATAAAAATATAAAATAAAATTAAAAAAATATGGTTAAGAAGAATATTTATATTCTTTTGTTAAACCCTTTTGTATTTGTTTTCTCAAGATAAAAACACTTTTCAGTTAACCATTAATATATTAAAAAATTGTTTGATTAATAAGTTCAAGAGTCTGATCATAAATTTAATTATAACATTTACTAAATGAGATAAAAAAAAACTAATTTTATTAAGGTTAAATTTGATATACTTTCTGAGTTAATTTTTTTTTCTTTATATATACTTAAGTTACTTGTACGGCTGTATATAAAGATATGTTGTGCAAGGCAGTTTTTGAATCAATGAGCATCATTTTCTTTCATCCACTTTATTATCTTGGATTCAACATGGCATGAGGAGGAGTTGCTAAACTTTTTCAACAATGGAAGATCCTTCAAATACTTTTTTTTCCTCCATAATTTTTATGGCCATGTTCATGTATTGATTTAATTGAAGTTGAAGAAAAAAATCTAATATTTTAATGTTTTGAATTGAAACTGGTAATATATTATTGGGTTTGTAGATTTAACATGGTGTGGTTTAGGCCACATGGTCACCATTGATACTTGTTTTAGGCTATATTTATATTCTCTGTATTACAGTCCATTTTGTTTCTTTTAATATTAAGTTTCTAAAAAATAAAGGTTTTTCTAGTACATGAGGATATCAGGATATCTAGAGTTTCGAAAATAAAATTGTAGTAAGAATCGATTATCTTATTACAAACTCTCAATAATTGTTTTTAAAAAAATAAAATCCTTTTCCATCCCATTCTCAATTGTGTTAAGTAAAAAAAGTTTAAACAAGGTTGCCTTCATCTGTACACGGTAATTCAAAAACTGTGGAATCCATGTTTAAACATGGAATATTCAAAAACTTACTATCTCATTTGGGGATTTCGTCTATACACGGTTGCCTTAATCACCAATTGGCTTCCTCTAACAGTTTGAACAAGTTTCCATTTGAGTTTCATTATTGAAAAGAACTAGAGAACAATGCCTTTATGCTATTCATCTACACTTGCTTCAAAGAAACACAAAATTAATACAGGAGCTTCTCCTGTTGTCTTGCTTGGATACCAAGGAGTTACATAAGGCTACAAATCATTTCATACTGAAAAAACAATTTTATCCCAATAGATGTTTGCTTCCATGAGGGGTACAAATCTTTTTCTATTTGTTTTGAGTAATGTTTTTACATTTTAGGATTTTAGTTTTCGCAGTTACGTCGGTAAAAAATTTGTACAATATTTTGTGTTGGGAATTTTTTTTTATGAAATTCTACTCCATTATTTCAAAGCTTGTTTTTTTTTTCTAGGAGTTCTCTGGGAAATTTGTTTAGTAAAAAAATTTCACTCTGGTGTTTCAAGCTTATTTTTTTATTTTTCTGTTTGTTTTGAGTAATATTTTTGCTTTTTAGAAATTTAGTTTTCTTCTAGTTAGAAATTTCTACAATTTTTTTGTGTTGGGGATATTTTTTCATAAAAAAAATTCCACTGCACTCTTTCTAGTAGTTTTGAGTAATATTGTAATATTTTTCGAATTTAGTTTCGTAGTTACCCTATTGAGAAATTTATACAATTTTTTGTATTGGGAAAAATTTTTAGGAAAAACATTCTACTCGCACTCTTTTAGGCTCTATAATTTATTTACTTTCTTTGTAATAATAATTTTACAATTTTGGAATTCAGTTTTTGTAGTTACACCGAGTAAGAAATTTCCGCAATTTTTTGTCTTGGGTAAAGACATTTCACTACTGACCTTTCAAGCTCAATTTTTTATTTTTCTAGTAGTTTTGTGTTGGGGAATTTTTGTAATAAAAAAAATTTAACTACACTCTTTCAAGCTCATTTGTTTATTTTTTCTATTTGATTTGAGTAAGGTTTCTACATTTTAGGATTTTAGTTTTCGCAGTTACATTGGTAAAAAATTTGTACAATTTTTTGTGTCGGGGACTTTTTTTTTATGAAACTCCACTCCACTCTTTCAAAGCTAATTTTTTTTTAGGAGTTTCTTTGGGAGATTTTTTTAGTAAAAAAATTCAACTGTGGTGTTTCAAGCTAATTTTTTTATTTTTCTGTTTGTTTTGAGTAATATTCTTGCTTTTTAGGAATTTAGTTTTCGTAATTACTCCAGTTGAAATTTCTACAATTCTTTTGTGTTAAGGATTGTTTTTCGTAAAAAAAATTCCACTCCACTCTTTCTAGTAGTTTTGAATAATATTGTAACATTTTTCGAATTTAGTTTCGTAGTTACCCCATTGAGAAATTTATATATTTTTTTGTGTTGGGAAAAATTTTTAGTAAAAAAATTCTACTGCACTCTTTTAGACTCTATAAATTATTTGCTTTCTTTGTAGTAATAATTTTATATTTTTGGAATTCAATTTTTATAGTTACACTAGCAATAAATTTCGTAATTTATTGTACTTGGATAAAGACATTCCATTATAGTCTTTCAAGCTTAATTTTTTATTTTTCTAGTAGTTTTGTGTTGGAGAATTTTTGTAATGAAAAAATTCCACTACACTTTTTCAAGCTCGATTGTTTAATTTTCTATTTGTTTTGAGTAATGTTTTTATATTTTAGGATTTTAGTTTTCGCAGATTACACCGGTAAGAAATTTGTACAATTTTTTGTGTTGGAATTTTTTTTTTATAAAATTTCACTCCACTCTTTCAAAGCTTGTTTTTTTCCTAGGAGTTTCTCTGGAAAATTTGTTTAGTAAAAAAATTTCACTGTGGTGTTTCAAACGAATTTTTTATTTTTCTGTTTGTTTTTAGTAATATTTTTGATTTTTAGGAATTTAGTTTTCTTAATTACTCCAGTTAGAAATATCTACACTTTTTTTGTGTTGGAGATATTTTTTCATAAAAAAAATTCCACTGCACTCTTTCTAGTAGTTTTGAGTAATATTGTAATATTTTTCGAATTTAGTTTCGTAGTTACCCCATTGAGAAATTTATACAATTTTTTGTGTTGGGGAAAAATTTTATGAAAAAAATTCCAATGCACTCTTTTAGCCTATATAATTTATTTGCATTCTTTGTAGTAATAATTTTACAATTTTGGAATTCGGTTTTTGAAGTTACACCAGTAAAAAATTTCTGCAATTTTTTGTGCTAGGTAAAGACATTCCACTACAACCTTTCAAGCTCAATTTTTTATTTTTCTAATAGTTTTGTGTTATGGAATTTTTGTAATAAAAAAAAATTCAAGTACACTCTTTTAAGCTCATTTGTTTATTTCTCTATTTGATTTGAGTAAGGTTTCAACATTTTAGGATTTTTAGTTTTCGCAGTTATATTAGTGAGAAATTTGTACAATTTTTTGTGTCGGAGAATTTTTTTTTATGAAATTCCACTCCACTATTTCAAAACTTGTTTTTTTTTTCTAGGAGTTTCTCTGGGAGATTTTTTTATTAAAAAAATTCAACTGTGGTGTTTCAAGCTAATTTTTTTATTTTCTGTTTATTTTGAGTAATATTCTTGCTTTTTAGAAATTTAGTTTTCGTAAATACTCCAGTTGAAATTTCTACAATTCTTTTTTGTTGAGGATTGTTTTTCGTAAAAAAATCCACTGCACTCTTTCTAGTAGTTTTCAGTAATATTGTAACATTTTTCAAATTTAGTTTCGTAGTTACCCCATTGAGAAATTTATACATTTGTTTGTGTTGGGAAAAATTTTTAGTAAAAAATTTCACTGCACTCTTTTAGGCTCTATAATTTATTTGCTTTTTTTGTACTAATAATTTTATATTTTTGGAATTCGGTTTTTATAGCTACACCAGGTAAGAAATTTCTGCAATTTATTGTGCTTGGATGAAGACATTCCACTATAGTCTTTCAAACTCAATTTTTTATTTTTCTAGTAGTTTTGTGTTGGGGAATTTTTGAAATAAAAAAATTCAACTAAACTTTTCAAGCTCATTTGTTTAATTTTCTATTTGTTTTGAGTAATGTTTTTACATTATAGGATTTTAGTTTTCGTAGTTTCATCGGTATGAAATTTGTACAATATTTTGTGTCAGAATTTTTTTTTTATGAAATTTCACTCCACTCTTTCAAAGCTTATTTTTTTTTCCTACAAGTTTTTCTGGGAAATTTGTTTAGTAAAAAAATTCCACTGTGGTGTTTCAAGCTCATTTTTTTATATTTCTGTTTGTTTTGAGTAATATTTTTGCTTTTTAGGAATTTAGTTTTCTTAATTACTCTAGTTAGAAATTTTTACAATTTTTTTGTGTTGGGGATACTTTTTCATAAAAAAATTCTACTGCACTCTTTCTAGTAGTTTTGAGTAATATTGTAATATTTTCGAATTTAG